ACACACATATACATACACACACATATACATACACACACATATACATACACACATACATATACATACACACACATATACATACATACACACCCACATATACATACACACACACATATACATACACACACATATACATACACACACATATACATACACACATACATATACATACACACACATATACATACATACACACCCACACACACACACACACACACACGATGGAGTTTTATTCAGCCATTTCATAAAACTGGAGTTATGTCATTTGCAGGAAAATAGATGGAGCTTGAAACCATTCATTATGCTAAGCCAAATTCAGAAGGGCAAGGGTCATCTTTTTTCTCACATGTGGAAGCTAGAGAGGAAAAAGGGTAAGAGAGGTGTGAAGGTGTCTCATGAAAACTGAAGGGAGACCAGCAGAGTAGAGGAAAGGGCCCAGGGAAGGGAGGTGGGAGAGAGGGGAACCTGGAGGAAGAGCACTGGCCAAATTATGTTGTCACACTGTGTGCACGCATGAGTATGTAACAACAAATCCCACCGTCATGTACAACTATATCAATCAAATTATGGAAAAAAGAGAGCATGGGCCACATAGAAATCATGCAAATAAGAAAAAAGAGTCCAGGGAAATGTTTTGAAAGTGTTGAAAGAAAAATAACTGACCTAGAATTCTGTACCTAGAAAATAGATCCTTCCAGGTGAGGTATGAGGTTAGTTCTTAATAGCCAGTAATGTCTGATATTTTGTTCTGGAAAATTGTATGCAAGATTGAAAACAGAAAGACCTTGGTGATTTTGATTTCCTGTGAACTATATGCCATCGTAAGCTATTCAAGAAATAACAAGGATCTCTGTCCCATAACCAGTGTAGAATACCATTTTAGAGACCATTGAGTCAGTGTTTGAAATCTAGTCCTCAATACTTACCAGCAGGTGACATTGGCTAAGACGTCCCTCAACCACAAAGTGGGAATAAGGGGCTGGGGTGGTGGCTCAGTGGTAGAGCACTTGCCTAGCATGTGTGAGGCACTGGGTTCGATCCTCAGCACCACATATAAATAAAAAAATTAATAAAGGTACATTAACAACTAAAAAAAATGTTTTAAAAGTCGGAATAAAGGCATTTACCTTATAAAAAATCTTTCCAAAATGAAGAAGAGGAGAAGGAGGAGGAGGAATAGTATTATTATTTTTTTTTTCCTCAGTCAAATAAAAATTTAGAAAATTGTCACCAGCAGACACGCTTGCAAAATATGTTAAAAGAAATTCTTCGGAAAGAATGAAAAATTATATAGATCAGAAACTCAAATCTGTATAAAGAAAGAAAGAGCATTAGAAAGAATAAATGAAGGTAAAATAAATATATATGCACCTGAGAACACAGCCCCAACATCCATGAAACAAAAACTGACAAAATTGGAAGGAGAAATAGACACTTCAACAATAATAATTGGAGAGTTTAATGCCTACATTAAATTTTTTTAAATTTAAGAAACAGAACTGAAAGAGGGAGGAGAAGGGTAGGGAGGGAGGGAGAGAGACAGACACCCCTGGGCTGGAGTGTCCAGAGCTGGTGCCCAAGGGAGGGGGGTGCCTTGCCCCTTTATAGACTTTAGGTTTCCTTTCTTTTCATGCACCCTTCTTCTCTTTCTGCATTTTTGGCACCAAGGATTGACTGAGGGGCATGTGACCACTCAGCCACATCCCCAGGCCTAKCTTGTGTTTTATTTAGAGACAGGGTCTCACTGAGTTGTTTAGCATCTCACTTTTGCTGAGACTGGGTTTGAACTCACGATCCTCCTGCCTCAGCCTCCCAAGTTGTAGGATTACAGGCGTGCACCACCACGTCTGGCTCAACACCTACTTTTAATAATGGATAGAATAACTAGACAGAAGATGATGGAGAAAATATAGCACCACTATTCATTTGAACAACCCTAAAAATCAACTGGACCTAACAGACATCTAAAGAACATATCCACCCACCAAAAGAAAATACGTTCTCCTCAAATACACGGGGAACATTCTCCAGGATAGGCCATATGCTAGGACATAAAACAAGCCCAAATTTAAAAGGATTGAAATCATCAAATATGTTCTCAAACCACACTGGAATGAAATCAGAAATCAATAACAGAAGGAAATTGCATAATTCACAAATTTGTGGAAATGAGACAACATGCTCCTAAATTACCAATGGGTCAAAAAAATGACAAGAGGAATAAGA